TGCCTTCCCCGCCTCTTTCCCTTCTGGGCCTGGCGTGAGGGAGCCCCCCCAGAGCCTGCCCTCCTCAGCTGACTTGCCTTGCCTAGTTGAGGGTCCCCTGATTTCTGGACTTAGGCCTTCTGGGCACACAATCTCACCCCAAGTCTCCTTTCCAGACGTACGTGCTACCTCCTCTCTGTCCCAGGCCCCCTACCTCCTGCTGTGTCACACTCGCCTGGTGCTGTCCTGACTCCCCACATTTTCACTTCCTGGGTGCCTTCTGCCGTCTTCATCTGTTCCAGTCCTCTCTGTCGTCCACGGTTAAAGTCAAATGCTGCCTCTGACATGAGGCCTTTTCAATTTAATATACCTGATATTTTTCAAGCGTCCACAAGTGTTTGTCAAGTGACTAATGGTAGAACCTCTCCAACTGGATATTAGTTTCCCTGTTTGGCCTCCCTGAGCCGTGGTTCCGTGGTGCTACTCCTGGGTCACTCTCTTCTCCGCTTCTGCGTCTCCCAGGCCTCGCACAGTTGGCCCTTTCATCTAAAAGGTACTCAGGACTTGTTTCTTAAATCAGTTCCGTGCCCTCGCCAAAATGAGTCCTTCCCAACCTGCATTGTGCAAACAATTTTTGCATCTCTCCTTGTTAAATGCCCTTCGTTCGTTCTTTTGCCCATTCAAGCATCGATTTTTCTGGAGACCTGCTGGGTGCTAAGTAGTGTGTCAGGCAGCGGGGAATTGTTGGGGAAAGAAGCCACAGCTGCTGCCTTCACGGAGCGTGTAGTCCGTGGACAGACAGACCCACGTCCTGCTGGGGACGTGGAGCGCTGGGGCAACACATGGCGGGGTAGCCGCCCTCCCCTTGGGGAGTCAGCCGAACCATCAGAGATGATACTTGAGCGGTACTTTGCTGGGTGTGCAAGGGTTTGCCCCGTGGAGAAGGCAGAGAGGCATAGGTAGCCCGCACTGGCCTGACGTCTCCCCCACCCCTCCCTCGGGCCTCAGCCAGTGAGGATTGCCTCTGGAGGGGCAGCTGGCATTTAGGGCTCTGCGGGCCCATGTCCTCTGTCCTAGGTGAGGATTCAGCCTTCTGTCTATGACCACAACATGCCCGCCCTGGAGGCCTTGGTTGGGGTGCCAGGGCCTCACAGCGAGGGGCCCATCACACACAAGTGGAGTGTGCAGATGGTGAGTACTGCCCAGAGGAGGGAGAGACACCCAGGTTGGTGGGAGTGAGCCCATAAAGGGGTACAGATGTGTGGGAAGGGAGTGAGGATGGATGCATCCTGCTGGGCTCAGTGATTTCTGAATCTGCCAAGAGCCAGTGGGAGTGAACTGGGATGCCCTAGATCCGGCAAGTTGGGAGGGAGGCCACGTTCTGGCCTTAAGGGGCCAGCGTCCTCTCTCTGCTCTGGACTAACCAAAGACCCCGTCTCATCATTCCTAGGAGCCTGCTGTGACCTGCCATCCTGAGGATCTCGAGAGGCTGCCCAGTGTGGCTGAGGTCCGGGCCCATGGGCTCAGAAGCTGGGGTGGGGGCCGGCAGAGTGCAGGTGGGAAGACAGGCCTCACTGACCCCTGCTGTCTTTGTTCTTGACAGCCTTGTTTGCCCAGAACCAAGTTCCACTGCCCACTTGTCTTCAAGGAGGAGATCCTCGTCCAAGTGAACGGGACTGTGGAGCTGGTGGGAGAGATCGAGGTAGCACCTGCTGGCAACAGACGCAGGGGGTTAGGGGATCCCGAGGGCTGAGCAGTGGGCTTCCGCACCAGATGGGCTTCCTGCATTTTTCTCTAGTACCCAGATGCAAAGCCCTGATATTTCCACAGTGGCAGATGAAAGAGAACCATGATTGGCTTGAAATTTGCAGGGCTGTTTTCATGGGCCTATGGATGGTTCTTCTGGGTTCCCTGTAGGAAAAATTTCCTTCCAGCCGTGGGACGTGGCCCATTAGGACGCTACGGAAGAGAACTCAGAAGCCGCGGTGCACCCCACTGGGGCCCCTTCTCCTCGGCTTCTCCCCCTCAGTTGAGGTGGGGTGCAGAGGTCAGTGGGTTGTGCTCCTTGTTCCCCTGGCCTGACGTCTCCCCCAACCCTCCCGCAGGCCCCCTCCGTGTTCAACCTCTGCAGCTCCCTCTCCATCTCCTTCAACAGTAGCAGGCATTTCCACCTCTACGGCAGCAATGCCTCGCTGGCCCAGGTATGGCTTTGCCTCCTCAGAAGCTTCGGGAACAGAGGGCAGCAGGGGGCTCCGCGGAGCCCCAGGGCAGAGCTGGAAGAGCTCGAACCAGAAGCCAGAGGGGCCCCGTGGGAGGTCTGGGCTGGGCCCAGAAGGAAGAGCTTCCTGGCGCTCAGAGCTGTTGGCCTTGGCCAAGGCCGGGCTGGATGCCATGGGCGCCCCGCCACCACTGGTGGGCAAGCGGGCCCCACGGTCACCTGTCTGAGACGTGTCAGGCAGAGATCAATTCGATGGCAGCTCAGCAAAGGGTACCCACCCCGTGTCCACTCTGAGCATGACGGGAAAGTGCTCGAAGCAGAGCAAGCATTGAGTGTGGGGGCCCAGGCCACCCAGGCAGGAAGCTCGGAGCAGGGGAAGGGAAGCTGCACCTCAGCCAGATTCTGGAAGGTTTTGCATGCTGAGCTGAGATTCTGGCATTTCATTCTGGGCCCCAAGGAAGCCATGTCAGGGCTTCCGATGGGTGGTGTGCATGTTTACCAGCTCGCTCGGGCAGCTGCACGGGGAGGTTCACTGGGGAGAGGCATCTGGGCCAGCCTGGCGGTGTCGGGCAGCAGTCCCGACCAGAAACGCGAAGACGTCACCATTCACAAGCATGCTGGAGGTGGGAGAGCCTTCTCCTTACACCCCCTTCTCTCCTCCTGCAGGTCGTCATGAAGGTTGACATCATCTACGAGAAGGAAATGCTCCACGTGTACGTGCTGAGCGGCATCGGGGGGTTCCTGCTGCTGCTGGTGATTTTCGCTGTCCTCTACAAGGTGGGGGCTGCTGGGGGCCACGCGCCTGCCTGAGACAGCCAGGCTCTGGAGGGGGTTCACGGGAGTTGGGGCAGAGAATGTCAGGATCAGGGAGCGTTAAAGCTAGAGGCGGCCTCCGCCTACTCCCTCTTTCTACAGATAAGGCTCGTGAGGCCCAAAGAGCAAGGGAGACTTTTCCCCCCCATCCCTCCACCAAGCACTGGCAGAGCCAGGACTGGGGACCTGGGGAAGGGGGCTGCGCCCACGTCTCAGGGGCCAGGCCCTGGGACAGAGCGACATCCCACAGACATGGTCCCTGCCTTTGCGGGGCTCACAGTCTAATGGGGGAGACAGACAGGCGCACACATGGTAAGGGCTCCACTCAAGGGCCTTTGTGCTGGAGCCTCACTTAGGCTGGGGAAGTCTGGGAAGGCCTCCCAGGAGAGGAGGCATTTGAGTTGGGATTTGAAGGGGGAGTCGCCAGGTGAAGAATGCCAGAGGGCAAATGTTCCATATGAAGCCCTCAAATACTCCAGCAAAAGACAACGCAGAAAATTCGTTTCTTCCTGTTGCACTCCCAGAGGGTTGTTGCTAACAACCATTCGGTTTCTGTTCTTCCAGGTTCTAATTTTGTTGTTTAAATATGTGTATACGTGTGAGTGTGAGAGAGACAAAGAGAAAAGTCAGTGTCTGTGTACACAGGTGGAAAACGTAAATGGGGGGTGGGTGGCTCAGTCGGTTAAGCATCTGCCTTCGGCTCAGGTCATGGTCCCAGGGTCCTGGGATCGAGCCCCACATCGGGCTCCCCGCTCTGCGGGAAGCCTGCTTCTCCCTCTCCCACTCCCCCTGCTTGTGTTCTTGCTCTCACTGTGTCTCTGTCAAATAAATAAAATCTTAAAAAAAAAAAAAAAAGAGAGAGAGAAGAAAATGTAAATGGAAGGATACCATATAAACTGCTCGGGAGCTTGTATTTCCCACCGGATATTCTATCTTGCTGTCTCTCTGTGTGAGCAGTCAGATGCACCTCTTACTCTTTAACCTGGCTGGTTTGCTGCTATCTGGATGCTCCACCTTTTATTTAAACAAGATCCCCACTGATAAGCATTTAGATGGTTTGTAATTTCTACCTATTTTTTTAAAGATTATTTATTTATTTGAGAGCGAGAGAGAGAGAGAGAGAGAGCAGAGCAAGGGAGAACACAAGCAGGGGAAGGGGCAGAGGGAGAGAGAGAAGGAGATTCCCCACTGAGCAGGGACTCCCCCGCTGCCCCCGACTTGGGGCTCCATCCCAGGACCTCGGGATCATGACCTGAGCCAGAGGCAGATGCTTAACCCACTGAGCCACCCAGGCGCCCCTAATTTCCACCTATTTTAAACAGTGACCAAAAAAGGCTCTTGGCTCCCACATCTTTGCACACTTGTCCAAAACTTCTTTAGAATTAATTCCTGGAGCTGGAATGGCTAAGCCAAAGAATATATACGTTTTGAAAAAGAAGAAGAAGAAGAAGAATATGTATGTTCTGAGCTTTCAACAGAGAGTACGTGGCCCATACTAAGCACTATGTAAGCGCAGGCTATTGCTATTAGTATTCCTGGATATTGTCAAACCGCCCACCCCAAATACTGGTCCATGACATTTTGATGAGCCTGAAGAATAAACTGTTAAACGGACAGCTTTTCAACATACTGCCAGGAAGCCGGTGTGGCAGATACCTCGCCCCGTCCCTGGAGCGGATACCACACATCCGTGGCATGCATGACTCATTACCATGAAGGGTGCTTTGATGTTTTGCTGAGGCCGATTGGTCCAGAGTGTTCCATGGACTTTCCTCACGCCAGTTTTGTCTCCCTACAGTTTGGCTTCTTCAAACGGAACCTGAAGGAGAAGATGGAGGCTACTGCAGAAGCTTCCAATGGAATCCCTAGAGAAGACTCTGAGAAGCCAGTGTCCAAGGAAGAGGCTGGGGACCCGGGCTGCCTGGAACCCCTCCAGGAGGAGGAGACCCAGGATGGAGACGGCAGAGACTGAGGCCCCGGCCTGATGCAGAGGGCCCACAACTGGACTCGGGATGCCGGCTGGCTCTCTGCCTCTACCTGTGTCCTGCTGTGTGTCTTCGGGCAAGTCACTGCCCCCACCTGGGCCTCCGTGTCGCTGTCTGGGACACGGCGCTCACTGCGGGCTCTGCGGGCTCATGGTGAGGGTCCCTGAGGGATGGGCGGGCAGACCACAGAGGGGAGGCCTTGTCATGGTCAGCTGGCTCTGGCTGCCCCTGGTGCTTCTTAGTATCCTCCCCTGGAAGATAATATGTGATCTAAATCTGGAAAAACTGTCATCTCAGGACCTAGTGACTCTCCCAGCCCTCACACCCACCTGCCTTTGGATGTCCCCAGAGGCCTCAGACTCCCAGAACCTTGCCCTTCACTCTGTCCTGCCCGGAGTCCTGTCAGCTTTCCATCTGCCGCCGGAAAGCAAACCTGATCTGCGTCACTACTTTGCTGCTGCAAACCCCTTGCTCTGGGGCTGGAGACCAAGTTCCTGAGCATGCCTTCCAGAATCTGCAGAATATCCTTAACATGCCAGTGCAAATTCGGGCCCCTGTTGCCTTCCTGGCCTCCTCCAGAGACTCCCCACCTCCCTTCCTGAGCTCCAGTTACACCAACCTTCCTCGTGAGCCAAGCTCCTTCCTGTCTCACTGCCTTCACCCAGACTGCTCCCTCTGCCTGGAACATTCCTCTCCAGCCCTTTCCCTGACCGACTTTCACTCAGCCTTCTATCTCAGCTCCAGTAGAACTGCCTCAGGGCAGCCGCCGCCCTCACCCCCGCCCCAAAGGGGTTCCCATATCACACATGCTTACCCTCACCTGCACTCTCCCTCATAGCGTGGATTATGTTTGCTACTTAATGTTCATCTCTCAAATCCAGCCATGGACTCGGTGGGGGTAGGGACCATACCGGTCATGTTCACCTTGGTGACATCACAGAGCCGGCCACAGTAGGCGCCCGACGCAATTTCACCAAACTAGGGAGGGTGTCTGTAGGAAGACGGAGAAAACTTTTGGGTGGGCCCATGGCGTCTCCACCTTTCAAGGCTCGATCTTTCCCCAGGCTCTGGCCTCCTTGCTCCACAGCCCCCACGGGGACGCCCCACGCCCCACCGTGGCCCCCACTGGGAGGCTGTGAGCTCAAGGCGCCCGTCATGTCTGTCCACCTGGCTCCCGGCACCAGACACAGTGCCTGCCTGTGTTTACCCCATAAATGGGAAAGTCCATCCAATTTTGTGATGTTTTTATGCTGGTGCCCCATTCTGGCCTGGCTCAATTAAATGAACATTTCCTTCTCAACCCTTTCTCTAAGTGGGACCCAAACAGCTGTTCTCTTTTTTCTTTTCTTTTTTCTTTGTCTTTTTTGTTATGACAACCCTCAGAGACTGACCTGCATAAGGCATTGACAATTCATTAAGGTGTGAGAATAGACCCTCCCTGGCCTTTTTCTAAAAAAACAATTGGTGGGGCTTGATTCCCAAGGCCCCCACCTTTAGGAGGGACAGAGGGGCTCCTCGCTGCTGCCCTCTTGTGGTCAGTAGGACCCCGGGAGCGGCGGGGGGCACAGAATAGGGAGTAATTCTCAGCCCAGCTCTCTGGGTCCAGCACTGGTTGCTGAGAAGCATTTGGTCTCCCAAGCAGTGACCTTTGAGGGCTCCCTTCTGCTTACAGGGTGTAAGCGAACGTTCTCAAGCCTGGCACACAAGACCCAGAACAGTATTTCAGAGCCTGCCGGCCTCTTCCACCTCCTCAACCCCCTTCTGGTCCAGCACCCAAGGAACCATGGGGCTGGCTCATAAGAAAGACCTCTGGAAGGAAGAAGTGAGGCCCATTTTCCCAGAGAGGGAGAAAAAGGGTTATAATGGTCAGAAATATCACAGAAATGCTAAAAATGCATGAAGTTATCCATAGGTCTCGTGAAGCCCGTCGGCTTCTATGGATTCACGCAGTATTTCTTGAGAGTTCTGTGTCAGAGCCTGCTCTGTGCCCCGAGGGCACGGTGATGAACATGACAGACAAGTCCCTGCCCCCAGGAAGCATCAACCCAGTGGGAAAACAGAGTGAAAAGGTAGAAATGTGATTCCACGTGGGCGAGGGGTTTGTGAAGAAGATAAAACAGGATAGCAGGCTGGAGAGTGATGGGGAGGGCTCTCTTACATCGGTGATGCTCTGTCACACACACACACACATGCAAAAAGTGAATATTTTCATCAGGGTTGGGAGCAAAATAGCACAGAAAATCTGGGAGCTTCATTTCAGGAACAGACCTGCCCAGGAATCTATATCCCCACTCCCTTAAGAGCTCCCATCCTCAATTACCTACATGTCCTTCACCGCCTGTGTCTTTGCAAATGCTGTTCCCCTTGCCAGCGCATCCAATTCCAGCCCCTTTCTATCCTTTAAAATCTTCCTACTTCAGGGGCGCCTAGGTGGCTCAGTTGGTTAAGCGACTGCCTTTGGCTCAGGTCATGATCCTGGAGTCCTAGGATCAAGTCCCGCATCGGGCTCCCTGCTCAGCAGGGAGTCTGCTTCTCCCTCTGACCCTCATGCTCTCTCTATATATATATATCTCATTCTCTCTCTCAAATAAATAAAATCTTTAAAATAAATAAATAAATAAATAAATAAAATCTTCCTACTTCAAAGCACTTCCAAGCTTTTCTCATCCCCTCAGTTCCTAGACAAAATGACCCATTTCATCTTCACTTTATACCCCTTCAGAACACATAACACGGTGTGGGCTCCTCTCTCAAGACTGGGAGGTTCTAGAAGGCAAGATTCAGTCTTTGCTCACTTGTGTTACCAACACTGACCCCTCCCCAGGGCTGGCAACAAAGAAGACATTCAATAAGTGTTTGATTCAGTGGCCTTCACATGTTTTGGGCTCAGGACCTCTTTATACTCTTAAAAATTAAAGATCCCCAGACTTTTTGTTTATATGGGTTATACCTATTGGTGTTTGTCCAGTTAGAAATTCAAATGGAGAAAAATTTAAAACATATGGAGACCCAAGTCCACATTGCTCACAAGCTGTCCGAATGATGACATATGTTCTCACAGGCCATGTAGCCTCTAGAAAACACCATCCTCTTGGCACAGAGTGAAAAAGTAACACCTTAGTATCATTGGGAAAATGGTCAAAACTAGTCAGGTTTGAGTCCAGGCTCTGCTGCTTCGCAGCTGTGCCAGGGGGGGCCATTACTTACCTTCTCTGGGACTCACTTCTTCATCTGTAAAATGGGAATAATAATGGTATATCCCTCAGAGCTCTTGTGAACATGATATAACACTTGCAAGTGGTCTAGAACTTTGGGGAGCACATCTGTGCTTGATAAAGGTGGGGAATAGAAATGGTTTAGTTGTGGGGATGCCTGGGTGGCTCAGTTGTTTGAGCGTCTGCCTTTGGTTCGAGTCGTGGTCCCAGGGTCCTGGGATCGAGTCCTGCATTGGGCTCCCTGCTCAGCGGGGAGTCTGCTTCTCCCTCTGCCTGCCATTCCCTCTGCTTGTGCTTGCTCTCTCTCTGACAAATAAATAAAATCTTAAAAAAAAAATGGTTTAGTTGTGTAGCGCCTGGCTGGCTCAGTCGGTGGAGCAGGCGACTCTTGATCTCGGGGTCATGAGTTCAATCTCCACGTTGGGTGGAAAGATGACTTTTAAAAAAATGGTTTAGCTGTGCAGGACGATGTGGTCAAAGCAGCACGCTGGACTGCAAAAGACCTGGCACTGGAGTCCTAGTTCTTTGCCGTGACCTTGAGAAAGATGCATGCCCTTCCTGGGCTGCTTTGCCCCACCTGGGACCTGAAGGAACCTCAGCAGCTGTTGTGTGGAAGAGAGGGATGGTGGCCGAGCAGCTGAGGCCCCCTCACTTGACCTGCTTTAAATGCTAAGGTCCATAAGTAGCATGCAGGCTCCTTTATCAATTAAGCACCACAAGCACCGTGTCCAGGCCCCCCGGCTTTCAATGGCCTACAAACATGTTTGGGAGCTGAAAAAAAAATCAACCCCAAAGTACAAAAATTAAATTGTATAATTGAAATAAATGTTAAAGTAAATGTCTACAAATGTAATATGTCAGGTAGTCAAATGCGGTTCTATTTAACATCTGTAGTTACATATATGAACTATATGAAATATGGAGTATTTTAATATTTGAAATTATGTGTGGTAGGGTATCGTACAAAAATGTGCATAAAGTTTACAAAGATCTTTAAAAGACCGAGAGATATTACTTGAAAAATAATGTTCTACTCTCAAAAATAATTAAAACTTTAAAAAAATACCAAACACAACCAAACTGTGTTGAACTATGTGATTTATTTATTTTTTTAATAAGATTTTATTTATTTGTCAGAGAGCGAGCAGAAGGAGGGGGAGTGGCAGAGGGGCAGGGAGAAACAGACTTCCCGCTGAGCAGGGAGCCCGATGCGGGGCTCCATCCCAGGACCCCGGGATCATGACCTGAGCCGAAGGCAGACGCTTAACCGACTGAGCCACCCAGCCGCCCCAAACTACATGATTTCTAAGGCTCCTTCCAGAGCTTGCAGAACATAAGAGGCTGGATAGAAACATCGTTGGAGAAGTTATTTGCTCTTGACAAGTTAGAAGGCCCCGAGGATGGGTGTGGGGCTGGGGGTGACTTGAGGCTTCGAGGCCCAAGAGCCCTTATAGAGCCCTGAATCCCCCGCCTGCCTGTGTGGCCGAGCCGCTGGGGCTGATGGAGCCAGGCAGATGTGGTCTGAATGTCTCACCTGCCTTCTATCCACAGAGTGACTTTAAGCAGGTCAGAGCTCTGGGAACTCATTTCTCCTTATCCCTGAAAGAGAATGAAAAAATCTTCGCAGAGACATCGGGCCCTTACAGACACTCATCTCAAGACGTTCCTGGCAGCCGGGTGATTCCCCAGGGTGTGGCCTGTCCTACTCAGCTAAGGTCAAGGCAGGCCACACCCCAGGATCCCACACACTCACCGCTGACGCCAACTCTCCATTCTTTCCTGAGAGCCACGTATTAGGAGGGCTGAGGCTCAGATAGGAAAGAAAAGTAGGATAAAGGCAGGGTGGGAGCAGGGTGATCCCAATAGGCCCAGGGGTCCTAAAAAAGAGGCAGAGGTGTGGCAAATCCGGCCCAGCCTGGTGGGTTGGTCTTAAAGGCTGGAGTTGTTCAATCCTCTCACTGGGTCCCCTATGTGCCCCCTACAGGTGGGGTCGGGACTGCAGGCACTCTGTGGTTCTGGTCACTCCGGGTCTGCACAAAGTTGATGGCCAGAGGTTCCGGCTGGGGAGGGGGGAGGAGGATGGCACAGCTAGATGCTGGGAGCCAGAAAGAGATGGAACACAGGCTCTATGCCTGGCTATGAGAACAGGGTCTGTTCTCTGGCCCGAGGACAGACCCTCTGTGTTTGGTGAAAGGGATATCCCACAAAGTCAAAGGCTCTCTCACCCCTCCCACACTGAGCTCCCTCTGTGTTTGTGCAGGATTCAAAGCATGAGACAAAACTTGGGGATATACGGGCAGGTCACATCTCCTGAGCATCACATTATAAGATTCCAGGGAAACTTGGAACATAAAAGCGCTTCCCAGACAGGACCCTATGGCTTCACTGGCTCTGTGTACTTATCACTGAGCGTCTCCCACTGCCCGAGGCACTACCCATGCACACATTTTAAGGACAAGTCTCTTTTGCCACATAAAGGTTTTTATTGAACTCAAATTCAGGGGCTCCAAAGCCTGAGGAAGACAAGGGAGGCTGGGGTTTGCACTGAGGCCCAAGCCCCACCCCAGGGCCCCACTCCCCCCCCCACCTACCCTCACCCCTTCCTGACTCAACGAGGGTCTCAGTAGCTACCAATCTAAGCTACCCAACTCTAATTAAGTAACCCTCCCCCCTCCCCCCCACCCCCGCCTAGCGCTTTGCCAAGCCAGGCACCCACCAAGGGGCAAGTTGCTGCCAAGGCCAGCTCTCTGCTGACCTCTCTCCTGGATCTCTCCCAGAACCTCCCACTGCCTGCCTGGCCTCTCTCCAACCCCTCTTCATAGCCCATTTCCCATAAATCTCCAGGGCACGTAACTTCCTGCACCCTGGCCCTCGACTCCTCCAACCTCCCCCAGCTTTCCCACTATCCCCTCTAAAGGTTTTTCTCTAGCTCCCTGGCCTCTTCTCTTCTGCCCACCACCTCCCCAGCCTCTGGCAGGGCCCCAGGTCAGCGCCGGCCGGCTGCATGGGTCCGCTGG